GTTGAAACGTTGTACATTTGCTGTTATGTTAAACTTATATTAAAGTTTTTCTTCATTATCCCTTCAAGCCGTCTCCAGCCATTATTACTTAAAATATTTACTCTCCATGTACATGAAGAAAATTTTACTCATTGTGGATATGCATAAAGAGATAATTCATAAGATGATGTTTCAGTATCAATAATTTCTTCTCTACAAACACAAAGGAAGGATCCCAATAAGGGCCATTTTTTGGCCTTAAAATCCAATGAAAGATAAAGTACTATGAAATGAAACTGTAAATGGTGCTTTCGGTAGTTCTAGTACCACCCTACCTCCCAGTAAATCAATATGAAGATTTGTGCAATGTGTTACATGATACCGAAAGCATAATATAGGTATTGTATCAGTTTCCATTGACAAATCAGTCATTTACACAAAAAGGGGCCAGCAGACATGGCTAAATATGAAAAATACAACATCAACTCACTAATACTCATAGGTTTTACGGACACTTTCAAGAACACATCACTGATAAAGCAGGGTGGAGCAGTGGTTCGGTTGACACTGACAAATAACAGCTGTGAGAGCATAACATGGATACTGCAGGTTTCGAAATTTCACACCTCTACAGTTATGCTTTTTATAGGTTACAAAAATAACATTTGGATTTCTGTGCATTTCCTCTTCATTTTCCCTTATAAGGTAAATTAATAGGAAATTGGCAGACAATGATTTATAAGCATAATGAAGTGGTTTTATTTTTGAGAAACATATTACATGTTCTAACAAAACATTAATCTGTCTTCAGATATTTTTGTACTTGCTACATGCCAACCTATCATGTGTGTTCCAGTGATTGAAATTCATAGTAGGTCCAAAAACAACCAGTATGGGACACCATTCTTCAAGAATTCTGATTTCCACTTCCATCATATGCTTAGTACATTAGCAAAACTTAAAAAAAACACTCTCCTTATCATCTTGAAATATGAAGTACTAAAAAAGTTCTTTGTTCTGATTTCACTTTCAAATGTTTTCTATGAATGAAATTAATTCAGTCATAAGCTAAAGTAGTTATCATTACATGTTACAATATCCAGATAACTGAAGAACAAGTGGTACAAAACAGTGGACTTTATCTTACTTCTAGATCTATGTCATTTCATTGTACATTCATCATGTAATTATTTTCCAAGATTACATATAAATCTTTAATAATTTCCCAGTCTTAAATTAATAAAACACTAATAAAACCATAAACCTATTTAAGAAATAAATGACCCTTAAAATGTGTTTGACTACTTCCCTTTAAATACCTTATTTAACTGTGCACATTGATAATTATATTAATTTAAAAAATTTTTGAATTTAACCTTATCTTTCATTCCTGTATTATTTTAGTGCTGATAATTTAATTATATGCAAGTACCATAGAATGGTCCTTATTTGCATGTAAAATTTCAGGTTAAAAATTCTAAAGCTTTTGCAAAAATGCCACTGCCCCCTTTAAAACCTTTAATTCAATGATGAGAACCTTTAACTTTATAAACCTGAATTTGTTGAGTTCTTAATATACTTTTTTCCAAATGAAGCATAACTGAGAGCTCCTTTGGCGTCACACCAATTTACAAGCACTGCAAAGTTTCCAAGTTGTAGCTAGCTCATCCTCAATTTTGCAGTATATGTGGGTATACAATCTACTTAATGAATCTTTTAGCATGTCAAAATATTGGCTATCCCACATATTAAGTCCTTGATTGTTTACACATGATGATATTACATCATTTCAAACTGACTTTGGTTCTACCAGTGGTGGCATAATATTAACTTTGTATTACTACGCTTTGTAGCAATTTTTCCAACATCATTCTATGCATTTTGGGGCCTGGGATATATTCTGTATGAAATGCAAATTTTCTTACATATACAAAAAAAGAGGATAAGGCAAGATCAATGGAAACAAGGCACAGGTACTACTGGTGGAGATGGCATTCTTGGAGAGCATGAAAGACCCACTAGATATATATATCCAATGGTTATGCAGCATTCATCTCTTATGGTATATGCCCAGTACGAGCACATGAACAAGATCAATGGAAACAAGGCACAGGTACTACTGGTGGAGATGGCATTCTTGGAGAGCATGAAAGACCCACTAGATATATATATATATATCCAATGGTTATGCAGCATTCATCTCTTATGGTATATGCCCAGTACGAGCACATGAACACACTGCTCTCAATTCTAGTCATGAAATTCATGAAGGAAGAGGTAACATCTCCCATTGAATGTGATGTCACTGACTATGAAAAGCAAAAAAAGTGACAATGACTTGAAAATAGAAGCAGAAGCAAGGCTAGCTCTTAGTAAAGTTACATCATAAGCAGAGGGAAAAGATCTTCTAGAAAGAATGAGGAAATCCATGCAACCTATATGAAGGCTGAACTGCCATGTTATAGTAAAATCCTGAAGTCAGTGGCTTGTTTAAACCTTACGACTCAAAATTATGCCAATTCATTAGAACAACTGAAA